TCATTGAAGTGTTAGTCTCTCTTAAGATTTAACTTGTTTGTATTATTTATCAAGAGAGAAATTCCATTATAAAATCATTTTAATAAAGTATAAGTTATGTTGAAGTCCCGTAAAGATCAACATTGTATATAGATAAATGCTCTTTATTGTAAGTTACTGTGTGGATCATATTGAGGTCCCTTTAAATCTCAATAGTGGGTTGTGTTGAGATCCCATAAAGCTTAAGATTGTATAAAGATCGGTGCTCTTTGTCTGTAAATAACTGGAAGCATTGTAAGGGGTTGGATTGTACCATAAGTCAATCAATATAGTGAAAAGGCCTTACTCGTGCCGGAGAGCTCAGTAACGAAAGACGTAGATCATTGCTTTGGATCGAACCTCCACAATTATATCGTTGCATCATCTCTCCCTTTTATTTATCGCTTTTGTATTTGTGCTTATTATTTGAATTAATTTATTTAGTCTTTACTTGCATGAATTTAGATTAATTTTTCGAAAAAGATCTTCTCTTGGTTAGTTATTCTTGGGCTATCATAATTCAGAAATCATACTTCATTGTTTCAAACCATATAAAGACCTATTTAAAAGATAAACATGATTAGGTCTTTTAGAAAGACCTATTTAAAAGACAAACATGATTAGGTCTTTTAGAATCAATGAAACCTTGCGGTTGAACCATGTAAATCATTTCATTTAAGTCACCATGCAAGAATGCAGTTTTAACAGCCATTTATTCAAGTTCTAAATCATATTGAGTAACTAAAGCAAGCATGACTCTTATAGTAGTGTATTTAACAACATGAGAGAAAATTTCATCGTAATCAATACTAGGTTTTTGTGTAAACCCCTTTGCAACAAGCCTAGCTTTGAACCTAAGAGGCTGTTTAGAATAATTTCCCTCCTTAATGCTATAAACCCACTTATAGTCTACTAAAGACTTATTCTCAGGTTTATGAACTAATTTCCAAGTATTCTTAACTATGGACTTCATTTCTTCTTCCATAACACCTAGCCACTCATCTGATTGTTGACAACTTAAAGCCTCTTTATAAGATTTAAGCTCCTTAAAAGCTAAGTCTTGATATGACAAAACAGCAAAGGATTGATAATCACTCCTCTTAACAGGTTCCCTTATCTCCCTCCTAGTTCTATCACGGGCAAGTTGATAATCACTCAAAGGATCAACTGATTCATTTACTAAGTCATGTTCACTACCTTCAATAGGTTCCTGTGAACTAGTAACACCATCAGTCTCCTCACCAACTTCATTCTCAACNACACGTTCATGAGAACCAGTGACACCATCATTCTCCCCCGCAGCCTCATTCTCAACTTGTTCCTCCTCAACAAGTTCGGGAGAGTAACCTAATTTCACCTACATCCTAGTCTCCTCATTCTTTTCACTTTCAGAAACATCACTAGAGATTTTCTTACTCAAACAAGGCATATCAACTTCATTAAAAGTCACATTCCTATTGGTTATCATACATTCCTATTGGTTATCATTTTAAAATCCTTCTCGTTTCTAGCCCAAAGTCTGTATCCTTTAACTTCTTCAGGATATCCCATGAAAACACATTTATGATATCTAGGCTCCAATTTACCTAAACTTTGGTGAGAATATGTAGGACACCCAAAAGTTCTCAAGATAGTATAATCAGATTTCCCAGACCATACCTCTTCAGGTGTCTCACCATCTAAAACATTGGAAGGAGTCATATTCACAATATAGACAGTTGTCATAACAGCCTCACCCCCAAAGGACTTTA